CAATTGGCAGGTGGCTGTCCCAAACCCTAACTTTTTCAACTTGTGAAAATGATATTGAAATATTTTTTTTCAATACTTTCCATTGCTGTTTTTAAAAATATATTTTGATTTCTTTTATAAAAGTAAAGTAAAAAAAAACATTTATTTAATTCATGAAATTGAATTAAATCATGAAACTTTTTGTACCAAAACAATGTGCATTTCAGTCCATTGCCTGAGACTGATTTTAACCACACCCCTACATTTTTGATCAGGAAATATTCATGTGTCCCTCTCTCTGAAAGCCTTTATTTCATTGTAGATAGGTAACCATCATTTTGAGGGAAATGTGTTCAAAAGTCTGAAAATTTGTGAGTAACTTTAAGGGACCAAACACCTTTTTTTTCTTAAAGCACCTTTAATCTTTCGATTGTCCGTTACCTGGTTCTGTTGTTGCTGCTGAGTCTGGGCCTGCTGCTGTTGCTGATTCTGATGCTGCATCTGCTGATTCTGATGGTGCTGCTGTTGAAGTTGCTGGAGTTGCCTTATCTGGAACTGCTGCTGCATGGCATTCTGCTGCATAGCTCCTGACTGCTGAGGCTGCATGCCTGCTGCTGCTGCTGCTGCTGCTGCAGCTGGAACTGCATGGACTGCTGCTGTTGCGGCTGCTGTATCATCTGCATCTGCCCTGCAGCTCCTGCTGGGGTAGATATTGCATCATGTCATTGTGAGGAAATGTATGAGAATTAAAATGATTATTATAAAGCCACACAGTCTCTCTAATCAGTTGAATTCCGCTATTGAATTTACCAGCCTGCTGTCCTCCCGCTACTCCCTGCATGGCATGTTGACCCATTTGCATTTGCCCTATTTGCCCTATGCCACCCATTGGTGCGCCAGGGGGGCGTGGTCCAATGCCAATAACTCCAGGACCACCTCCACCCACTCCTGGTAAATTCTGCAGGGCATTCATGGGGTCTAAAAATAAACAATATTACTTTGAAATTCAGCAGAAAATATAGTCTGACAGTTAATTAGAAGACTTAAGAAGATCTTAAATAGCTCTTTTAATTTACCAGGCCCACCTTGAGTCTTTTTATCTGCAATGAAAGACAATCATTTCAATTCACGATCCACATCATAACATCTCAGCAATAAAAAAGCATAGTAAACTATGAATTGCCTACTTACGAATGTCCCTAAAATGAATTATTAGCCTTGCAACCAGAGATAAATACTCCTCCTGTATATAAAAAAATATGTATATTAAAATACATTTAAACAAATCACACAAAACATTTCCATTAAACTGCAAGTTAAAATGGACATTTAAAAGTAGTACTTACTCTGGTCTTTGCTTTGATAAAAACATGGCTCTCCATGTCAGTACTGGACTTTGTGTGAGCAGTTCCTGCTTTTCTCATCGCTTCATCTCTGCAATAAAGCAGAAGATCACCTATCTTTAACTGAAACTATCATTCATTTAAGAGATGCATGTCTCCAAACATTTGTAACTATTAGAAGAGCTTTTTATTATTGAAACAAAGAACTATTATAAACTACCAATAAAACTATTACAAAAGAAGAGAAAATAAACGTAATAATATACGAGGGTTACAATCAATACATGAAATTCTGAAATTAACTAAGGTGTATTATCTTATAAGTATTACACCAAATAAGAGTATTGCAAGCAAATTAATCTATTAATTCTTCTTTAAAGAAAGAAATAAGTTATTAATTTAAGTCTATACTCAAAGAGACAACTTTTTTTTTTTACTGATACAGAAGTTTGGGGATAAATTCATTTTAACAATAAAGAAAAGTCAATCCAACACATTATAAACACAATTCCAAAATATGTTGGTAATTTTTTCTTGAAAGTGATGACAAAAGGAGCAATTGGGTAACTATTAGAAGAGCTTAGTTATAATGAGCCTAAAGTGATCACAAGAGCGATAAAATATCCAAGTTATTAAGGTTATTTTGCCTATAACGTTAAACGGCATTTATGTATAATTAATACATATTTCGCTTGAACATATTTGACTAGAATTTAATTAGTCTTACTTTACATTTAGCAAACCGCATAGCTAAACCAACTCTAAAAAGGAAATGTAAATAACGTTACTTAATGAACATATTACCGTGATCAGATAAATATCATATATAAATACAGGCTATTTTGAAATTTCGACTGTTTAACAGATGAGCTGATTACAAGCCTGAGCATCCGCTAGTTAGCAGCTAACTAGCTAGCTGACTGTGGGATTTTATATGCTCTTCATATAAGGATATAAAAAAAAATATTTGAATGCTTACATTTGCGCCACTACTTTCTGTCGAAAGGCTGGACTCCTCCAATCACTATCAGGACCTGGGACCTCCATAACTGTTATTGCTGAACAACGTTAAACAAGCTTCTTCCAGTTAGCGATGTCTGCTACGGCTTCGCAAATGAATCATTCCACTGAGTCGAATCTTTTCAATGAAACGATTGAACCAGCTCAATCTGAAAGATTCATTCAAGAACGAACTGTTCTCGAGTCGAAGAAATCAGACAAATAAATCCACTTGAAATATAAGTTAGCAGGTCAATAGCTTTTTTATTTTTTGAAAATATAATTTGTTGTATTTCCGTTTAGTTATATTAGGAGTTCAAGTTAAACTACATGAGAAAAATGATAAATGTTATACCTTAAATTTTATATATAGGCTATTTTATTTCATTTAATGTTTATTTCAAGTGCCGAAAAGATATTTTATGGTTATTGTATTTTAAATTATAATAACAATAACATCAATTCAATAGTAGGTAAAATGTATAAGAGTTACTTTATCATATAGCCTACTGACTTTTATTTTCATTTTCATTTTCAGATGTGTGTAGGCTGGGGTGTGGTTACTGAGACATGGGTGACATGTCAAATGAAAGGCTTCTGCATTTCACACATCGGTTAACATCGGCATCCTGCCCAAACATCATTGTTCTTCATTAACTATATTTTTACTTATTGGTAAATAACTGTAATATTCTTTTGATTATTCTGTTTTATTTATTTGGTGGCCATAATCAGTAATGCTGAATGTAGATAAGGCATGTCTCATATAATTTACCCTATGTTGCATTACCACAAAGTTGACATTGTCTACTTTTAGACTTAACTTGTAAGGCAATGTAGACTATATATTTTTGTGATCATATTCTTGCCAAATTGCACTGCTAGGCAGAAGTTGCCAAGAGGACTGATGAGGTTGGCATATGATATCAATAACAAACAAACAAAAAAATTTGTTTCACTGATGTTTGTCCTCTAAACAATGAGCACATCTTTGTAAAGGATAGTGTCATGAATTTGAGTAGGCCTGTATTAATCAATGCAAAAGCTATGGCCTTAAGTTCACATGGTTTTAAGGCAGTTTTGACTTTGTTTGATGATCTCATAAGCATAAGTCTCATATCGAAGGTTCTATGATAAAGTACATTGTACATGTGGGGTTAACACCTCAGGAAGTGCAATTTCATAATCCATTTGCCCATATCCATGGTAAAGAACTTGACTAAAGGCCAGATATTATTAATATAACATGATAATATTCTCTTTATTCAAGTCCTTATATTAAACACAAATATTAAACCAAGACCTTCTATCTTTTAAATACTTAAGTAGCTATTTAAATGTGGAGACATTTTGGCTGGATACTGCTTAAAATATTTAGGCCTAGCTATACGATATATCCATAATTTCATAGCTATTTTTACAACTCATGTCAATAGCCCATGCATGTCATCAACATATGAGCCAGATGAGCCAACATGCCATCCAAAATGAGACCACTATACCAGCACCTCACAACCAATGGTCCCTCTAAGCTGCGCGTGTGCACAAAAGAAAAAAATTGCCAGGCAGAGGACTTGCGCGAAATGTGTGGGGAATGTGATGAGAATGATGTGAGGATTGGCAGTGAGTCGTGTGACTGTGCGGACAAAATAGCTCAATATGAGAGGCAACCAGAAATGCAAAGACATGTGAAATAAAATCACATCATCATGTTTTAAAGAAGAGTGGTTCAAATTCAAAATACATCATTATTTTAAATAGATGTTTTTGTGTGTGTGTGTGGGGGGGGGGGGACTTTCAGGCTTGATTAGATTATAAAAGAGTTCAAATATTCACTTTTCTTGAAAATATTTAGCTATAGATCTATATTTAAATGCTTCAGTTTGTTTTCATATTATAATAATATAATATGTAAACAAATTGACACATTGAAACTGATATATTATATCACTTCAAATACTTCAATTCGGGTTTTTTATATTAGGCCTTAATTGTATTGTGTTATAAGCCTAAATAAAGAATCTCACAAGAGTATTGTTTAAGGCTCATGTCATTGCCATTAAAAAGTTTGAAAACGCCTGCTAAATAAAATATTAAAAATTCATAAGCAATAAACACAAATTTAACTTTGACGGTGTACACAATTAATTGACTGTAAAAAACACTTGGTTTTCCCAAACCATCTCAGAGTAACAGCTTACTTTTCTTTCATAGCCTACTTTAGTATATTATTGTAAAGAACTGAACAGTGCTCAGGAGTTTTTGTAAATTATTTTTCATAGGAATACTTGTTAAAGACTGATACAATTAACATCACTATAAAAACAACAAATATCAGGTTACCTGTCTAGGCCTACTTTACATCAAGAGTCAAATAAATAGAAATGGCGCATTCAAGTTAAAAGTTACAACTGAATGTTGAAACCATTGTTTTTCTACGTATGCTGAACAGGTCAGGTAGCCTATAAAGAATTATTTTTGTCCGGGTGGCGAAAATGTGGCTCAATAGAAAAAAAGTTTTGGCCACTCGCAAAAACTAGGCCTACAATCTCCTAAGCACTAAGCAGAAGCGTCTCATTATCGCGGTTGAGAGCATTTGAAATGCCGCGCCTCAGCACGCCACTCATCTTTATTCTTCCTTTTAGAAACAGCCGCTCGAGGCGTTTGTGACGGGTGATCAGGCAGACCGGGAGCGCGCGCAGATCCGCCCTCCAGACGCCATTTCTCGAACGGTGTGGGGAGCTGAAGCAGCCTTTACACCAATCCCGGGAAGGAAGAGAAAACACAATGAACTGAAACATTTCTAAATCTTTTCGATCTTCTAGTCTCATGGAAAAGTCGTGCGTCATATAGGGGAGCAAGGTGGGAAACTTTCTGTTGCGAGATTATTCAGAATTCGTTGTGTGTGAAGACGTGTTGCGGGCCGCCATTTTTGTTACAGCCTTCAAAGTCTGTTGGGAGTCTAAATAAGAGACGCAACTCTTCCGTACTTTGGTGTAATACACGAAGAAAAACTCGCTGTTGGACGCAACTGATATATGTCGCTCGAATCGTTATGCAAGGCGATTTATTAACATATTATGCTTCATCCTGAGCGGACTGTGACGGAAGACGGCTAGCTGGCTAACGCGTTATATTGTCTCATAAGCTACAGCTACTTTCACGGAAGAGAGAGCGGAAAGGGGAACTTTGACTCCAAATACGCGTTTTTGGGTTCGTTACGAACTTTTGCGGTTGTTTAAACCTGTTCTACGCCCGTCGTGATTCTTGTGTTGGTGGAAAATTTAGCAATGCATCAAAGTTGGTTGACGCCAGTCGCAGCCTGTCTGGTCAAACGTCAGGTTGCGGTTCAGTAAGGTTTGGACTGTCGGGTCAGAAAGCGTTCGGTCGCTTGTAAGTATAGGCGTTTGCTGTTTTAATTTATTGCTCGTTTCTGTTTTCTTTTCGAGTTCATCAGTGACAAGTCTATTTCGAACTAACATGTCGTCTGCACGGTTCGACTCCTCGGACCGATCTAGCTGGTATTTCGGGCCGGTTTCGAGACAGGAGGCGCAGAATAGGCTTCAGGGACAGAGACATGGGATGTTTTTGGTGCGGGATTCGTCCACCTGTCCTGGTGATTATGTACTGTCAGTGTCCGAAAACTCCAAAGTTTCTCACTATATCATCAACTCTTTGCCAAACAAGAGATTCAAGATAGGTGACCAAGAGTTTGATAATCTACCTGGCCTTTTAGAGTTCTATAAAATACATTATCTGGATACGACCACCCTGATAGAGCCAGCACCAAGGTAAGAGCTTGCATTAGTTTTGACATCGTCACATCATCCACCCCTCTTCTCACTAATGCATTTCCCTCCCCTTCGTTCATATGGCAAGCTGTTTAAACATACATTCATTTCAACTTACTAGCGTCTGTTTGTGTCACTAGTTTAAATTGTTATTTACTTGCAGGTTATCAAATAAATTATACGTATCATAATCATTCAGTTTCACAGTGACACTTCATTCGATACCAGTACTGATTTATAAGCTACTAGTTGCAACTAGTCACAATTTCAATAGTGACAAGTAACACATTGCAAATGTTTCTGGTACTGGTTAACGTTTTACTATTCGTCAGATGCTGGTAATTATATAATTTACTAGTCCAGTAACAATTGTTTTTTACTGTATTCAGATTATTGCAACTACTAGTTACATTTTTATTTGAGTGGTCAGAATCGACACTTTTCAATTAATTGAACATGACAAGTCAAGTATATATCAATTGTGACTAGTGAAATGTTGCTGGAAACAATTAAAATAGATGCTAATGTCTTTAAGTATTGATATCTATATCACATTAGCATTAGCAATAATAAAACTGGAATAACAGCAATTTGTTACTGTTAACTGTTAGCCACTGTTAAACTACTTGCCATAACTTTGCTGGTTATTTTTCACATTCATTCTTATGCTTGGAGATACATATTGTCAAGGTGAGATGTGAGAGTGGTCAGTTAAACGCATCTTTAATTCCCCTTAATTTCTCTCCTTCCTGTGTTCTCATTAAGCCATGCAATAAAGAGAATTTAAGACATTTTTATTCAAGATACCAGGAAGTTGAAACATGTGAAAAGTGCATATTCAATAGTGGAATGGATATTGTCAATCTTAAAAACTCTTGTTCTACAGGTACCCCAGTACCCCTCTGCCCAGTGGTCCTATTCAGCCATCCGGGGGAATCGGAGATGAAAACCAGGAGTATGTGCGAACTCTTTATGACTTCACTGGTAGTGATGCTGAAGACCTTCCTTTCAAGAAGGGTGAAGTCCTAATTATTCTGGACAAGCCTGAGGAGCAGTGGTGGAGTGCCAAGAATAAAGAAGGCAGAGTAGGCATGATTCCTGTTCCCTATGTAGAAAAGCTGGTGAGACCTTCGCATCATCCCGGTCAGCCTGGCCATGGCTCACGAAATTCCAATAGCTACGGCATACCTGAGCCAGCGCACGCCTATGCTCAGCCTCAGACTCCATCGCCCATTCCCCCCATCACACCCGGCGCTGTTATCAACCCACTGCCGTCCATGCAGAACGGGCCAGTAATGGCCAAGGCTATCCAGAAACGAGTGCCATGTGCATATGACAAGACTGCCTTAGCACTGGAGGTAGGTAGCTAAATGTTGGATTCCCATAAACCAGAATTTGCCTTTGTCACCAGCGTGATTCGTCTGCTAGTTTCTGTTGTTTTATTGATGATGGATAATATGGGGCGGCCTAATGTACGTTAAAATCTATTTATTTATTTCAGTTCACAAGATTATTCAGTCAGCATAGATGTTCTCTGTCTGTTGATGTATAGGAAAACAGGATGCTGGGCTGGATGCCATAAACACTTTATGTAATGAAGCTATTTCTTGATGGTTTATAAGATTTAACTGGTGCAGTGATTACACATTTAAAGGGATTTTTACTCGTCATTACATTTGGTCAGATGGTGGTGGTGATGGAAATGTGAAATGACAAATATTTTCTCTTGATGACACACTTGTCAGCTCAGGCCTATGTCTCTGAGGGACTTTCTTTAGACAGGCCAATCAACATATTTTTAAGTAAAAAAAAAAAAGCCTTGAGTTGAATATTAGAGATAATAATTCTTCATATTCTCACTTCCCCTGTTTATTCTTAAGCACACTGACTTGTATTTTAGGTGCCACATATCTCTTTAAAAACTGTTTGAGGAGAGATGAAGCGAAAAATAAGCTTAGAGACCTACTTTTTTGTGTCTAATTTAGTGTAGTTTATTGGTTTGTTCAGGGTCTAGAATGAAATTCCATAGTCATGCCACATGGCAAGTCCCAGCACTCCTCCATTTGTTTCTACATGCAAAGCTTTGTCATTTTGTAAAGAGAAAATTACATAACCTCTCTCTTAGTCAGCCTGAGAATGTCAATTGATTCAGGTGGGTACAAGAATAAGGTAAAGAAACCTATGGTTCAAATGCAGATTTGCTTGGTAATTTGGTCCCATTTTGTATTTTTCCTTCTGTCTGCTGTATTTTACATATAAGTGAAGCTTGTGTATGGAAACAGGGATAATGACGCAGACGCACAGTTTGTTGTGGCCTAAAGCAAAATAGCCTGATTTAGAACAGCTATTTGCAGGAATGTTGAGAAAGTGAAGCATGTCAGTTAATGCTGAGGATTTTGAACTATGATTTGAAGTTTTATAATGCTTAATTTGCCTCAATTTGATTTTAAAAAGCCAATAATATTTTTTTTTCTCATACTAAACGTGAAAGTAAATGCCTGTTTTCTTTTTTGTCCTGTTTTTTTTCCCTCACAGGTGGGTGACATTGTGAAAGTGACTAGGATGAACATCAGTGGTCAGTGGGAAGGGGAGGTAAATGGCCGGAGAGGTTTATTCCCTTTTACCCATGTGAAAATATTGGACCCCCAAAACCCAGATGAGAGTGAATGATCTGGACCATGCTCTGTCAGCACCCCGTCAGCTCGCCGGACTCCATCAAGTCACAGCCGGTATTACGCTTGCCTGCCTTGGGGCTCAGCCGTGGTGCATTTCTCAAACCATTTGCGTGGCTTCTGACTGTTTACAGCTCTGAAATCAAACGGTTGTTAATCCCCCCCCTCACCTGGTTGCAGGTGGATCAGTATTTTTTATTTTATTTTTATTTTTTTGTCTGCCCTTAATATCCTGTTATTTCCACACATCTGCCATCTGTTCCTGTGACAAGGTGAAATGAGGCCTCCAACATTGACCTAAGCCTTCCTGCCTGCAGTTTTCTGCCTTTAGCTTTGACTTTTGCTAGCTGAAATATATTAAGAAAGGGATTATGATAATTATACCCTCTGGTTTGATTGCCAATTGTTTACATGTTTGGTCCAAAAAGTTGTCTTTTATTTTGTCTTGTTCATTTTCAACAAAATCCTAATGATACTGAAATGACCCTTGGTAATAGCCATGACTTGAAGATGAGGGTATGACTTTGCAGGATCTTAGAATAGCGACAACTGCACCACTCCTGATTGACCTTAGAAACGGACTCAACTAGTATGTGGGACTAGTCTACTGTAACCTTTTTATTTGTGCCATAATAACTTATCTGTAAATTGCAGTAGTAGTGTAGCTAGATGGTTGTGTCTCGACTCGGGGGATCTTTTGAATGGTGAAGGGTTTGCCTGTGGAGCTTTTCGCATCCAGTTGTGACTGGGGAGTAAAAACGCACCTCATCTATTCCATTGGACAAGCTGGAAATGTTCACCTGTGCAATCGTGAGCTCATCTCGACTTCCCCTCATCCTCTTCTACTCTGGTTACAGTAAAGTCTGGATCTTGCTCTTTTACATGACTGTTACATCACAAGGTCTCTGCTACAACTTTGACATTTTCTGCCCAATTTTGATTCAGCAATCTGACACGCACACAACGTTTTGGTTTTGTCCATCTGTAATCTGTTTCAAATTTAGCCAGATGTTGAATCAAGCATTTACTGTGTGTTGAAATAAACTGGCAATTTCTTAAAAGGGATTTAAAAAGCCTGCTGGTGGCCTCTGTGCATAACCTTCTGGCCAAGAGGTTAAATGCTGCTTCATGTTACGTTTTATTTGTCTTGTCGATTTTTCTTTTTCTCTCCTTTTTGAAATGATCTCCTATTTTTGTCTGGTTTACATCCGTAGCATCAAGTTAAAGTTAAAACATTCATATTAAGCAATAGACCAGCCCGTATCTTAAGTGCTCAAATAATTTAAGTTTCAAATGCATACTTTTTCCTTTTTTGTCTTGGCTAAGGCTTTAACAGTATTACTGTTTATTGTTTTACATTACAAAATATCCATGTGGTCTCGTTTGTTTAAAATGAAAATTTGTGCCTTTTATTTTCTTACACCATTTACATGTTAATAATATTTCCCATGGTTAACACCTGTGCTGGTGTATTACCCATTATGTACAGAACGAGTAAATAAAATTTATGTCTACATCTCTGTGCATTTGACCAGCTTCCTGTGTTCGAGTCGCAGGATTGCCATGGTCATCATGTCAGACCTGGAAATATTAGGGGTTTAAATTTGTGATATATCCAGATCTGGAAAAGTTATGAAATTTAATAAAATTTAAAAAAGTTATGGGAGTTTATATAGCGAATACTAATTTTTCCAGTTTTACTTTGCTCTCGATTGTATTTTTGTTTACATCTATTTAAAGATTACATGACATACAAATGAAAATCCACCACAACAATTTCTGCTATAGTCATTCCTAAAATAAAACTTTAGAAATCACAAATGGCTGCTCATTAAATGAACTAGTCAAATATAATTCTGGAGACTTCTATCTCCTAAAGTTGGTCATTTTGAAGCCCATGTTTCAATAGACATTTTGTTCAACAAAACTGTGATGTAACGGCCTGTTTAGAGACAATGTTCAGTATCTGGAACAAGAGGTTGGTTATTCCATCTCCTTTGAATTTTTTATTAGCACCAGTTGTGATTGTGACTGTGCCCTAGAGAGAAGGCATAATTAAAAGAATTTTAATGAAGTGTCCAAAAAAAGAAACCCTGTGCTATGATAACCTAGAGAAAGTTATGAAGGTCAAGCTTTGCATTTTTTTATTCAGTAAATCAGGATCCCATCATTTTGGGTATTTGGCTCTGACCTTGATGAAATGCATGTATAAACATAAACTTATCCCATCAGTTTGAGCAGAACGGTTGTGCGATTCAGTGCAAGAAAGGTTCCTAAAGGATCTTTTCACATGTATTTGCAAGTCTGAAAAGGAGGATTTGTGAACCCAGGCTGCGTTGGCATAGGTTCATCATGACAGTCTGCTGCAGCATGCGTGTAGTTATTGGTGACTAAGTTATATTTTGGAGAAAGTTTGTAAACAATCACTTGGAGGTCAGACAACAATTATTTAAAGGTAAAGTGTAATTTATGTGCCACTATAAATATAAGATTCCAAATCTTATATTTCTCATACTAAATGCATGTTCCTAATCTGAATAAGCTGCAAACTTGACCAGACTAGTTCATGTTGATCGTCAAGAGTGACTACACAACCAGACATAAGAACATTGACTCGACCAATGGAAGATAGGAGGAATGAAATTATGTTATGGGGGTGCAGAAATATACTTAACCTTTGAAGTGGCCTACAATTTCCTCCATATATATATATATAAATAATGCATTTTAAAATAAAAATGTATTTTTAGTTTTTAGAGATTTTTCCAAATACAAATGTATTAAACTGGGTTTTGTTAGTTAAAGAGATAGTTCCAAACGCCATGAGGGATAGTTCACTTTGAAATTATTCTTGATATGTTTTAGCTTACCTCAAGGGCATCCAAGATGCAGGTTTCTTTGTTTCTACAGTATTTTCAATTTTGATATTTTTAGGTCAAACCGTTCTTGTCTGACAGTCATATAATGGAGGTATATGGGGTCCACCTCAAAAACCATGCACAGAGAAGTCCAAATTAAACATGATTTAATGACTCGTAAATGTAAGTACACATTGATGGCCTAAGACACGAAACGAGCGGTTTTTGTGAGAAAACGAACAGTATTTATATCGTTTTTACCTCTTGCAATCACAGTCACGTCTAAGTACTCTGAGGACGAGGGCGCTTATGTCTTCGCAAGCGCTGGAAGTGATCTGTCTCACGTGTACCTCACTCATTGTTTACACAGAGATTTCAGAAGTGTTACCCTTCACTGTGAAGATCTAAACATATTTAGATATACAGGAAATTGCAATGTAAGAATATATCAACAACAGACAAGTTGATTTTTTATTTTTTTTGTCGCAACCGGGCAAGAGATCACTTCCAGGACTTGCGCAGAACGAAGCGTCCGTGCCTTCAGATCACTTGGATGTGACTGTGATTACAAGAGGTAAAACAATATAAATACTGTTCGTTTTTTCACACAAACCGCTCGTTTTGTGTCTTAGGCCATCAGTGTGTACTTACATTTACGAGTCATTAAATCATGTTTAATTTGGATTTCTCTGTGCATGCTCTTTGAGGTGGACCCCATAAACCTCCATTATATGACTGTCAGACAAGAATGGTTTGGCTAAAAATATCAAAATTGAAAATACTGTGGAAACAAAGACACCTACATCTCGGATGCCCTTGAGGTAAGCTAAAACATATCAAAAATTAATTTCAAAGTGAACTATCCCTTTAAAAATGCTGTCACTCTGCAAATTGCAAGGCGTTTGTGTTGGTCTAAAGATTCTTGCAAACAGATGCAGATAAGCTTGACAGCATCAACCCATTACCCCAGGACTGTATGTGTTATGTAAACCTGACAGAAACAGCAATTGAGGAGCTAAAAATAAAACAAATTGCACAATTGTTGCCGGGCTTTGATATTTATATTTATTTTTGGGAGCTTGAAGAGGTAGAAATGTAGAGGAGCTCACTTTGATATCCGGTGGATATTGTCAGTTGAATCAGAGATACAAAAGTAAATTTTTTGCAAGATTAAATTAGCAATGCATAAAATTAAATTATGAGATCTTCATTTTTGTAATTGCTGCTGTATGGCCAAAATTGGAGATAAGACACCAGATTTATTATACAATTTACTTTTAGTTGTTTTAAGTCAGAGCAGGCTGAAAACTGAAAACACAGAGCAAAGCTGAAAACACTAGTTGTGTATTTGACACTACTTGCTTGTGTAGGCTAATACATGACATGGAAACTTCAAATGTATGAAATCAACAGTACACTATGTGTCCTTTAAAAATATGCAAGTCTGTCCATATTAAATTTACTCCACGTGAGAATGCCAAGTGAATATTTTCTAGAAAACATGTTTAAAATGAACCATATCACACTCTCACTCACTGTGCTTTAGAAAGACCACAACAACACTTAATTCCTCTTCATCCGCAAGTTAAATGTGATACCACTCATGATGGAAATGGATTGTTTTTGAGAACAATCACTGGGTTTCTGAAACAGAGGTCAGCGCGGGCCTATTTTAGCCCATTACCAGCTTGTCCCAAGGCTAATTCTGTTGCTATATAGATTGAACCACCATAATGAGTGGGTGGCAGTCTTAAAGTGACAGTCGAAATATCAGCTAAAAATGGCACATTTCAAACATGTAAAGACTAAACATGAAGATCCGTTCTAAAATCACCAATTCAATTTCTATTTTCTATTCCGTTGCTGCAAGGTAAACCTCATCTCACAATCTGCAAAAACAATCTGTGTGCAGAAAGCCAGAAGCAATGTGCCTATATTTAGTCTTTTGATAAGTCTCCGTCAGCTGAACCTTTGCCACATCTGTACATTTTAATTAGAACAACCAAAAAAATACATGCATCCTGGCTATTATCTAATCTTAACTGAAATGATGGTAGAAGCATTGTCTAAAATTGCAAAATATGCATTTATTGTTGTTATATTGATTATTTTTTATACTTAAATCCTTTTAAAATACCAAACTTATGGAAAATTGTTTCCACTTCTGTTTGGAGATGCTAGTTGGACTTGGACAGAAATGACACATCATAATTTACTTCTTTGGCTACTTCTGACACACGATGAAAACATTTGAACAGAGTAGCAGAGTAGCTTTGTAGCAGAGTGAATGTTCTCAGAATGTTGTCTTTGTGTTGTCTAAATCAAACTTGAGCACTTCCAGAATCTTCACGCTCCATTTGGTGGTGCTGACGATTAAACATTTACAGGACATACGCCACTGCCTTCTGCTGTGGAAATGAGGCCATGTTGAGTTATCATGACTCCCCACTGGCTGGATCTGGGTCAGATATAGAGTCAGAACCGGGGCTTTATTCTTCTCAATATACACTGTGCCCTCACCTAGTAAGAAACTAAAATGAGTAGGTTTAAATCACTATTATTATAATTCACAATCTGCATTAGGCTACCTAATATTTAATACAATACATAGATAACAAGCAACAATAAACATTAATGCTGTATAATATATGCAACAGGAGAAACAGGTCCAGTCCGATGGAAGTCTGATGATGCATGTTAAAAAAAATAAAAAAATAAATAAGGATCAACTGGTAATCTGGCATCATCAGTTGTGGTAGAATAACTGACAACATATTTGTAGTTATCGAAAATAATTCTTAACCTAAACACAACATTTAAACACTTAACCTTGGTTATTAAATATCACAAACGTTTATGAGCAAATAGGCCTAAATCATGCTCTAACATCTTAATATTTTTTTGTACTGTAATTTTCATAGCAACGGTTTTTAATGGGTTTTTGAGACTTGTCATAGTGCATGAATAATGTTTTAGCAGGGGACTAATCTTTTAGAAATGTCGCCATCTGTTGGTAAATTGGCATGCCCCGTCTACGATTAGCCTACTAGTCTACAACTCAAAATATTTTTGCACCACATCTGATTTGTCATTATAAAATTTGGTTGGATCCATAACTTATGTTATACATATCATACATATACATATACATACATATCCTAAGAGTTATATTAATCATCGATCGTCCAACATCGCTCAGATTCTCTCCTCTCCTGCACCCAGGGCAGGGTTGCCAGGACTGTGTAACAAAATTATCCAAGTGTCAATCAAAAAAATAGCCCAAAAGTAGCTCAATGTCCATATCCCAAATATCAAAACTCATTCCATTAACATAGCCTACCTAAAATACATATTTTACAGTCACTGTTATGCAAAATGAAAACCACTATTTCGTTGTGATCACAAAACTTAACATCAGCACAGTTTTATCATTGGCAGAAATTAAAATATTTCAATACAAGCATTTCAGACAAATATGATTTATGAAATATGTCAAACCTTTAACCCATGGGAGAAATAAAAAATCACCCAATGTCACGGGGAAACCGTGGACATGGCAACCCTGACCCAGACAAAATAATCATCCAAAGCACCCACAGCAAAGGCATAATCAATCGATTACTTTGCCATGGAACAAAAAGAAATATTAGTATAATATTAGATA